TTCTCCTCTTATTTCTCCAATATTTATTGCTTTCATCTACTGTGCGTCAAAGAGGCATCTGCTGCAACTACCGCAGCGTTTTGAAACTTATGCGCTGAATGTTTGACGCGCTAATTCATGATGACATGTCGGCCGATGAGCTGCAGTCCGCTAAAATAAAGCCCCACTTATGTTCCGAATTTGCAGAAAGTTCTGACTGTCACCCAGAAGTGGTTCGCGAAATTACACAGTATGATGGAGGAGCTGCACGTAAATGCACGGCCTTCGGTGAACTTTGCGCGCAGTTTTTTTTTTTTGCTATCACATTTTCATTCTGACGCTTGCTCTGTCTTGGCCCTTTCATCTGCATATCACAGTGAAAGGTTAGTAGAATGTGTGAAACACAACCTAGTGTTGCAGTGCATGACACTCGTTCTTTCAGAGTTAATAATATGCGGGCCAAAACTGTGATATGATTATGAGGTACGCCATAGTGGGGGACTCCGGAAATTTCAACCATCTGGTGTTCAAGACAGTCCTTTGCTCGAGCAAGTGACTGTCTTGGTGCATGACAAATTCCACAAACTTTTTCGTGACATTGAATAAGTACACCACATATGTCACAAGGCAAAGCAAGGCGCCTGTCAAGAGTAAAAACGCACGAGCACTTACCTCACAAAGCCGCGCCGATCTCAGCTCGAAGTTTACTCGATCTATTCTGTGGAGCCAGACTTTGCGACGACCTGCATTCTCTTTTCCGCGTGGAATGGCAAAAAACTTTTTCCCTTGTGTCACGGTTATGACAGCCAAACGCACAGCAACCCGGCATCGCGACAAAACGAGCGAGACGCACACATGCGCTTCACAATTCGTGCACTTCACATCGGGCGAATACACAGGAAATGGCACGTTGGAGCCTTCAACATGGCGCCGAGAGGCGAAGGAACCGAAATACCGAGAAAAAGGGAGCGCGCTACCACGTGACCGCAGCTGCCCTATCAGAGACGTGGAGAGGAGGAAGCGGCGTAGATCAAGAGAATGCTGTACTTTTCCGAAGGTACAGGGGCTTTATATTATCCTGTTCTCTTGGAGCGCAGAATTCTATAGTGGAGCCTGGTACGCCTTGTTTATGTCCCCAAGCTTCTTTGCGGTCGCCGAAATACTGGCGTCTGTGTCAGTAGGCAGCCTCGTCCTCGTGTAGCGATTTCCAGCAAACTTGCGCTTCCTCGTCTTCTGTGTTCTGCACTTCCCCATGCTGGTCGTAATATGGTCCAGGTGGCCTAAGGATACAGCCCTAGTAGCGTTGACACGTGGAACAAATGCAGAACGAAGCCTGACGTAGCCTGACCAAGGCAAACAACAAAAATTCCGACGAGTATCGTGCGTCCCCCTTGTGGCTGTTGTTAGAGATTAACGAAACCTTTTATACACAAAGTTGGATTTAATGAGGTCATCTTATATAACAGTCACAATAAAATGCATAAAGTATTTTGAATAGCATTAATATAGACGAAAGAACACTTGCTTTTGAAAGCGATTTTTCGAAACTGAAACCACAGTTGGAAATGTGGTTTCGTTTTTGCTATAGGAGCATAGGGTATAGAAAACTTGCTGTAACTCGCAAACTAATGACACTAGGAGGATAATTTTTGTTGGAACATATATGTGAATGTTTGGGCGTGCAAGAAAAAACAAAACACTAAAAATTTATTTCGCAAAAAAAATAATGACTTTCGAAGGTGGCCTACCACCTTAAGTGAGACAGGAGTGCACGCAATGCAGGTTTTTTGCATATTTTTGTTCAGTGAATGTCAAGGAGGGAATCATTGTGAAACTGTAAGTGTTGTGCGGTGTTCATTTTTATGGGTAATTTTATGCAATGTTAATACATCTTCGGTGTAAGCATTTCTGTCAGACTAGCCATAAAACAAACATTTCATTTCCTAAAAAGCAAATGCCTTACCTTCTTAAAAACGTTGCTTAAAAAGGCAACATCAGGATTCATGCACTGGTGAAGTTGTAGAAAACTGCTTGGAGTGGGAAATATGCAGGTTCACCAACATGTTCGCTTTGGCAATCGTAGCACAGTTCCGCAATGACTAGCTGGTGAACTGCAAGTCGCAAGGAATGTTTTGCTGCATGGTATGTCTCAAATGTTTTTCATTAGCAGAATAATATTCTTTTGAGCAGTTTATCACTTGATAGTGAATGTTCTGAATTTCAATGCCATGTGTGAAGGTGATGCTCGCACAGTTTTTTTCAAGATTCTATATTTTAATGCCTACAGTAATAAAGGAACCACTTGAGCTTTTTGGTTACAGTCTTTCATCAAGAAAAGTGTCATTTTGCTCACAATTCACGCGACAAAATAGCAACACGCTGTCCGGCTGCCATCCTTGTAAGTTGTGCACAAAATAATGTCCCTCACTTGATGAAGGAGTGCCCGCAGACACTTCATTTGGCTAGGAGGCAGTACATACTATAATGGCAAACAGTAGGCCTCACTCATAGTTCTTTAAAGGGGCCTTCCAAGATTTTTTCAAGTAATGAGTGAGTAGCATCACTACGGGAATTAATTTCCTTATGAATTGGCTGCTGCGAAAGTTTTTACAATCTTGTCAAATACAACCGGAGTTGCAGGGTTTTTTGCAAGCTTTCAGCGCTTTCTACTTCTTTTCGTCCAAAAGAGCATACTGGAAGCTACACAGGGAGACATGACAAAGGGGCCAAAAGCCATGTCAGTATGTCAGTTTGTGTCGTAACTTTGAGCATTGTCCTTCCCTTATTTTCTTCCTGAAGACATGGCTCGTTTTTTGCATGATAATGATCACACTGGTGTAATTCTGTAGTAGTATGTAATTATAGCTCTAGAGAGTGCAGTGCGTGTATGTGGTGGTGGCCACGATAAATGTGAAGCTCATGATGATCAAATCAGCCATGGCCACGTCTATGAGGTTATGATGCAATTGAACATGTGTGTATGGTGTCATTTGGTCAAGAGGAAAGCAAATAATTTTTTGATAATCATGAAAGCTAATTGAAAATTCTCCACGCATGTCGCACTGTAACAGTTTGGTGACATGTTCACAGGAGCCTCGACTACCAGTCGGCAGGCAGCATTTTCTGACCATCTTAAAAAAGTGTTGGGTCCCTTTAAGTACTGCAAGCAGTTCAACTTTTTCTCGTAGAAACCTGCATGTACAAACCTGCATATACAAGCAGGTTTTTCTAGGACTTTGTTGTCCGGAAAGATTTCTTCAGCATCTGGCTTTCTTCTTTGAATTTTTACACAAGATGGACATTTAGTCGCAACTGAGTGCTTGTGAAATTGAGCTTCTTGAACAAATCCAGATAGTCCGTTTTTCAAATTTACAAACGAAGTGTCACTTGCATAAAATCCAATCTTTAAAAAAAAATGAACGATACGTGATGAGGAAGTTTTCACATTCTAAAGGCTGTACATGCCCATTTTTAGTCCAGTACCGCTTACAGATCAATTAGGTTTAGATATAAAGTTGGCATTCTATGTATCTTTGCAGAACTGAAGATGTTAAGTATGTTGGCAAATTTCAGTTGCAACACCTTTTTTTTTTTCCTTCACACTTATGTTGTAAACATTTTCATTCCAAGCCATGTGCATTGTCCTCAAATGCTTTACAGAGACTAGAGCTACCATGCCCTTACTGTTGAAGCATTCAGCAATATTTTTTATCGTGATAAAGTGAACCTGATACCATATCGGCGAAAAAATTGGAACTCACCCAGGCCCACTCAAGAAATACACTTTGCTTTGCAAGCTCACTCAGGCCTGTATGCACAAAGAAACCTCGGTCTTATTTCACGTTTTTATCAAGTTTCTGTACTCTACGTGCACTGCAAGGGCACAAAAATGGAAACAGGGCAAAACATGCACAGCAAGATTGGTTCATCAATACTGGCCTAATTTATTCAAGCACAACAAAGGCATAAGACCGATGAAGAAAACTTGATGTAAGGATGAGGTTGATTTGTGAATATGAGCCTCAGACTCGTAGAAGTTTTTCCTGAGCAGAACGTGCTAAACTTTTTCTCAACCGGACTCACTCGGACTCAAACTGTCATCATATTGCTCAGATGGATTTACTCAGACTTATGGCTTGACCTGAGTCTGAGTGAGCATGAGGTAGTCAACTCGTGAGCCCGCTAGTGCAAAATGAGCTTTTCTGTTCCTGATGTAAAGGCTGTTTAACGTCAGTATCACACGTAATCTTTGCTCTATGATGAGACTTTTGATCCTGTGACTTCACATACGAGTCACCAGTAGTTGCTATCGAGTATCGACATTTCTATTAAATATGAGACGCACACGACATGTTTATATCGAGTGTCCTGTCAAACAGTTTGGGGGGGGGGGGGGAGGTTCTGGCGCTCCCTCTTAACATACGCCTCTGATCAATGAACATTGAGGTCGCAAATGAATGTTTGTGTCGAGATATGTGTGGATAGTCTTGAGTGCCAATGTAAGCTGATATAAGGCTGATAGTAATACTGATAGGGCCATATGCCAGCAGTAAAAGGTGGATCTTACTCAAATTCTTTCGAAAAATACATTTTGCTCTTAGGGTTCACTCATACTCAGTCTCGCCAATACTCAGTCTCACCAATACTCAGTCTCACCAATATTTTATTGAACTGGACTCACTCAGGCTCGATTAAATTTCTCTCAACCAGGCTCATCTGAACTCACTCACCAAAATATTAGTCACCTGGAGTTACTCGGACTCAGACTTGTGGCTCAATTTGAGACCAAGTGAGTCTGAGTAAGTCAACTCATGAGTCAGTTTGCCAACTTATACTTGATACCACAATTGATGTTACTGAATCGGGCTTGATGCCAAGACTCTACACTTCCAAGCCTGAAGCTAAAAATTACAGAAACAAATGTGTTCAGTAGTTTTCTTTTTCTTTGATTGTTAAGCTAAATTTGATCTGTACTAACAGCTTTTTGCTACACTCTTTAATATTATTTTTTTTTGCTGCAGGTTCATGAGCACACAAGCCATGCATCGGCAATTTTAACCCAGAATGGACTGAAAAGATCTAACAGCTCGTTATTTCCAACAAAACGGTTAAGAAGACCACATAGCAATGGCCACAATTTTTCTCCTCAGTGAGTATCTAAATTGAACAAGTAATTTGGTACCTCATCTATGAATATGTGAACTGGCATCGCACAGCATTACTGCTGACAGAGTTTGTTGTCATATCATAAAAACTGTAAATGTTCCATTAAAGGTAAATGCTGAGGTATTTCTAAAAAAAGGTTCTAAATTAGCGGATGCTGTTGTCTCAGCATAGGAAGAGTAGTGTGGCAGTTTGGGTGAGTTGGTGCTTTGAGTACATAGTGCTCAGAAATGTGAGACAAAAAAGGAAAATACTTCAAAACATAGCACACCATGGGGTAGTGTCCTTCTTGTTCTCGTAACGATAAATGCAAGCTGGGCAACAGTTATAATGAAACAGACTCCTAGCATATATTTAGGTGACATGTGAAAGCAACATAGATGTATTTTACAAGGAAAGCTGTTATGAGATCACAACGCGGGTCGCATGTGGCGCCGTAGTTGTCGGCCGCTGGTGTCCGTAACCACTTTCGGACAAAAGAAGGTAAAAACTCAGAATAGAAAACACCAAGAACACTGTGGGATTTGAACCTGGGTCACCTGTGTGCCGGCCCAGTATTCTACCACTGAGCCACGCCAATGCTTGTAACTCATTTGAAAACTCGCCTTAGACAGGCTTGTTGTCGGGAAAGGAATTGCGCTAATATGAGTAATAAGACATTTTGAACAGCAACGGAACAACCAGGCATCACACAATGCGAATTGTGTAACAAGTGGGTCGTCCCATTACAAAAGCTTGTGCTTGTTTACCTCTTAACTGTGGCGCATACTCGCTTCAGGCATTATTCTTCATTGCTGTCAGCCACTGCATAATTGATTGAAAGGTGGGATTCAACAATACAAAACCACTATATGGTTATGAGAGACGCCGTAGGGAAGAGCTTCGGAAATTTCGACGAGCTGAGGTTCTTTAACCTGCACCCAAATCTGAGCACACGAGCCTACTGCATTTCTAGCCACTGCATAAAATATTTGCACAACATTCTTTGAAAGTGTGTAGCGGAAATTCTCTAAAGAATGACGAAAGATAGCGTAGCGAATGCCTGGCTACTACTAAAAAATTATCATTATTTATGGTGTAGTCTGTACCCAGCAAATGTGCATGTAGCAGTTACCCAGGGACTGTTTAGAAAAGGCTCTGAAAGGCCGCTCTTCCAGCTTTCCCCGTGACTGTGCTGCACGTTCCGCGCAGGCCTGGTGGCTTTTTTTATGGAAGTAATGCAAAAGGTAAAGTGAGGGATGGGAGCTACCGTAGTGGTGCTTACTGGAGTCTCGAGCTTCCCATAAATGGGCAGATGCCTCTGCACGATGTGCAGTTGCCTCAAGTATGTGCTCTGCTAGGCTGGTTTAGTTGGAGCGACCGCTGTTGTTGAAGGGGAAACTTAGGCACATAGCTGGAGAGCAACTGGAAGAATACGAAGCCTGTGCTGGAGTTACATTAGGCTTGACTGCCAAGCTTAAGGAAGCAGCCTTCGCGCTCACTTATTCTCAGTTTCTCTGTGTAGAGTACCCATTTTATAGGAAAAAATTCAAAATGTGCCCAGGGAACGTCTTTTTGCCCATTTTGTAAGTCTTTATTTAAAAAAAAAAAGGTTCATGATTAGCAATGAAACTTCTGCATTGCGTTCTAGGCATGGCTTATTAATCATACTGCCAAATCTTATATTACTGTCACTTTTCAATAAAGAAATACCATTGGGCTAACTTCATAAAAACAGCATACAATGGAAAATTCTGATTTCGTTGATTTCCATGATTTCTGCTGCTTCTAAAAACATTTTTCGAGCAAGGTCGATTGTGGATCTCTTTTATGCATTTATCAGGTAAGTGCAGAGAAGAAGATGAGTGCTACTCAGATAGGCAGGGGGTATCACTCAGTCTGTGAAGAAGACGACGTTTGGTTGGCTGGGTACACAGGCTGGTTCCGTCATTACCACTTGACTTGTCGTGACCGCTCTCCTGTTTTATAAAAGAGTGCCTCTCTAAAACGTCTCATTTTAATTGATGGAGGTGCTGGGTAACGCATAATGCTGGAATTGCGAAACCGTACGTTGCCTCCAGTTGCTACGATGTCCACGCACGACGATCAGCAGGCGGCCGCCTCGGCTCCAACTATGGCAGCTCCTGTCTGTCTCGGCTCCTTTAGGCAACGCGATCCGCCTACCTTCAGTGGAACCAATGACAAGGACGTGAAAGACTGGCTCGAGGAATACGACCGGGTGAGCAAGCACAACAAGTGGGACAATGCGCACAAGCTTACTGTCGTCCAATTTTATTTGACCAACGTCGCCAGTCTGTAGTACCGTAATCACGAGAGAGACCTCCCCACCTGGTCGGCCTTCCGAACGGCATTTGCAGACTTGTTTGCCCGTCCAGCGCTTCGCAAACTACAGGCAGAACAGCGCTTGCGTACTAGGGCTCAACAGAATGGTGACAATTACACGTTATATCGAAGATGTGGTCGACCTTTGCCGGCGTGTCAACTCGGCCATGACAGAAGCCAAGAAGATCAAACACATCTTGAAAGGCGTGACTGACGACGCATTTCACATGCTTGTCGCCAAGAGCCCGCAAACGGTAGCGGAAGTGATCCAACTTTGTCAGAGGTATGACGAGCTCTGGAAACAGCGTGACACCACTCGTCGTGCCAGCGCGCCGTGTGCAACAATCTCTGCATTAACGTCGGCTGGCACTGCTATAGACCACACCACTTTGCTTCTCGAGATCAAGCAATTTGTACAAGAGGAGGTCGCATGCCAGTTGTCCCTTGTGCCTTATACCTCCGAAGGTGCCCTCATCTACTTTAGTGCCATCAATACAGCGAGTAGTTTAGGAGCAAGTGTCCGAGAGGCTACTAACAGCTCACGCACCACTTGTGGCTGCTCCACTGACTTATGCCTAAGCACTGAACGGAACCCGTCGTCCGTCTGTCACGAACGCCCACGTTTCTTTGTCGCGAACGCCTGGGTCCACACGCCCCTTTGTCATACCGACTCAGCCTATGTACCAGGCTGCCCGTACTTTCTCCTGTTAGGTTTGGCCTGGGGATTCGTCTCTCAATCCCTTCGGCGCCAAGTCTGACGGATGCTGTCAAGTATTTGAGTGATTATCCAGACCAGGCGGCGGGCAGAGGCGAGTCCCGTCCTTCAAGTGCGGACCCTTTGGTCGTCCCTTCGGGCAGCAGCGTGACTAATGGGCTCGGCGACTCATCGGGCAACAGGAGGGCTGGCGTGGCCGGCGCCGGAGCTGACAAGAGGACTGGCGCTCCCGTTTGATCCCCAATCACCAAGCCGACCGGCCGACTGCCTATGCTCGTCAGGCATTGTACGTGCCAGCCGGAGGACGAGACGTCATGTCGCCAAGACGCCGTTAACCATTCGAGAGAGGCCAACAAAGACAGCATCTTCCTGGAGGAGACCAATGGCCACCGCAAATCACCCCGCTAATTGAGCGAACAAAATCGGCGGACCCTTTGAAGTATGCTGCCAGGATCGGGGGAACTCTCGAGTGGCGGCACACACATGACGCGGAAGAGCCCTGCTGGCGCCACCACCGTGCAGTGTTCACGTGGACCTTGCATGCTCGCCCCCCCTCACCTGTGTGTACGTGATTTGTGTTCGACTCTGAGAGGAGGAGCCCGACAGGGCATAAAACGACGCGGCAGAGTGCTGGACATTGGGCTCTGAACTATGTAACGTTCAACCACCACGCTCGTGGTTTGTGAAACCACTATCCCTTCTTTTCTGTAAATATGTGTAAATAATGTCATAAACCTCTGTTATGTTTCTCGTATCCTCTTGTCGGCGTTCAGTTCCTCCATCCGGATGCCATCATCAGCGCCCCTTCCTTCAATATCTTACAACTGGTTGGCAGCGGTGAGATCGACTTCACGACATGGTGCTGTGCTGTGGTGAGTGCTTGGTCTTTGCTTTGACTTTCCAGGCTTTAAGTGTGTGAGTTTATTAGAAGCTGGATTGTGTGTGGGTTAGGGAGATTACCTTTTGTGAGTTTTGAGTTGTAGGGATCCCCTAATTATGTGTGAGATGCAGGACCAAAGTACAACGGCAATCATGTCGTGGAAAGCAATGCTAAGAGATGAACTTTTGTGTGTGAGTAAGCATCTAGGCATTGAAATAGAGGAAGGAATGGGTAGGACAGCGATTTGGATGCTGATCGCGCAAAAATGCCAGTGAGGACGAGATTCAAAATGCAGTAGAAATTTTTGAAAAACAGGAAAAGGAGGAACAAAAACGAAAGGAACAGGAAAGAAAAGAAAAGGAAAACAGGGATAGAAAAGAAAGAGAAGAAAAAGAAAGATTGGAACGACAGAAAGAGAGAGAGCAGTGGGAGGAAAGCCTGAAATTAGAACAGGAAGAGAGAAAAAGATCAATACAGTGCCTTAGATGGTCTCAAGTAAATTCGAGGATCCATGCATTCGAAGTGGGCAAGGATTTAGAGAGTTATCTAACCTCTTACGAGAAAGTTTGCAGAGAACTAGAGCTCGACGAGGACTATTGGTCTTTCGCCTTATCGAGTGTCCTTCCGTGCAGCTTGATGGGTAGGTTACTATACCTTTCTGAGGAACAGTTCAAAAGGTACGATGTAGCTAAGGCAGCTTTACTGCGGTGCTTTGGCATCAGAGTTGACAGAAAGCGATTAGAGTACAAGCTCACGAACGCTCCCGTGAAGAACGCGCGACGTTGTGCTGGTAGTAAAACCAAGCCTGAGAGAGGTCCGCGTGTCTCTTATAGCACCAAGGTAGATAGTGAGCGAAAATGGGAGATAGAACAACGGGAGCGAAGTGAAGAGCGTGAGCGAGCACTCAGCCTAGTGATTGAGCTGTTGGAGGAAAAAGTCGAGGCAAGGCGGCGGAAGATTCGGCCACCCGCAAGTGTAGTGCTCGAGAAGTGCGAGGTGCAGCCCAGAGGTTTAGAGAAGGCTAGCACATGTGAAGAGCGCAGCAGGTTCGAAGACGAACCAAATGTGA